CACTTTGGCAAAGGATTTATTATATATACAAAAGTAGAGAAAATACTTCTAGAAAATACCTTGATTTTTGAAATATATTTTAATCATGGACGCTGATACGCCCTCATGACCATACACATCTATAATTGGTATTGGTTTGTCAGAAACACAGAAGGTTCACGCGAGGAAACACATCCATGTTCTCAGTCAAATAAATACTTATTACTTTCTTTTCAAAAGTAACATTTGTCGACTGGCCCCAAACAAACCCAAATCAAACCTCATTATTAGGCTATATGGTATTTACTTGGGTTGCATCTTTAAAATGTACAAATCATGATTTAGGCACGGACTTATACCGGTCCGTTGTTTAGGTTGCTGTTTTATAAATCCCCACCCAAGGTATTATGTATGATGTGCTCATTATAGGCTAGACCCGTGAAAATCTGGGGTAGAATAGGTCTTCAGCAACCCATTCTTTCCGTGAAAGGCAACTATACTTGACGTAAGAGGCGACTAACGGCATCGGGTGGTCAGGCTCGCTTACTTGGTTGATGCATGTCATCGATCCCAATTGCGTGGATCGATGCTCATGATATCAATCACTGGTTTGTCTGGTCCAGACTCGGTTATTTACAGACCGCCGTCACACAGCTGCAATATTGCCGAGTGCGGCGTAAAACTACCAACCAACCAAACAAGCATTATAGGTTATCTTATTCCCAGTGTTATTCATTTCCCTTCCACAGAACAATTCGTCCCTTTACTCAGTTGTTCGCAGTTATCTCGTTTTTCACGCATCCTAAAGTACCCGTGGAGATCCGGTTAGAAATAGTTTTTAGCCATCCATAGTTGTCGTAAGAGGCAGCTACCGGGATCGGGTGGTCAGGCTCGCCGACCTGGTTGATACATGTCACCGTATCCCAATTGTGTAGATCAATGCTCATGATGTCAATCACTGGATTAAGTGGTCCAGACTCAGTTATTTACAGACTACCGTCATATAGCTGGAATGTAGCTGACTGCGACGGTAATATCAAACAAACAACAAATCATTGTGAAGTGTGCAGGTAAGAAACGTGTTGTTTGTTTATGATTTATGTTTTGGAAGTTCGTGGTGAATTGTCATATATGAGCAACCCATAGCCATAGGTATATAATAAAACTTGCAATGAATAATATCGCGCCGTGTTATAGCAATTGTAAAGTATTATTCTTTTGAACAGTAGGTTTTTCAACACAAAATAATATGTTGCCAATTTACAGCAATATCAGCAACTTACATCATAAACAGTAGCTAAATATACAAGTAATATGCACAGTAATATGAACTGCCATATATGATCTGCAAGGTGGCGGCTTCATGTGTCTTCATTTTAATGGCTGGTCATTTGTTGATAAGATAAGCGTATAAATATTTATAAACCTTACACATTGTCACGTGCTTTGAAATGTATCTTTCTTTAGTTTAATGCATGTTTTTTTCCTCCCTCTCTCTCTCTCTCTCTCTCTCTCTCCACCCCCTCTCTCTCCTATCGCAATTATATCGTTTCTTAATCGCAATTATCTCGTTTTGTCATTCATTCCTCTACCCTCAATGCTTGATGTTGTGCCCCAATTAACCACACGTTGTTCAGTATATCGTTACTGCGCCTCGGGTATTTACTGAGTGTTCCACCCATATATTACTTTATAATAGTGCATTCAGTGTTTATGATTATTATTGCATTAGACGACAATGAGTTCCTGGATCGCTCAGGTGCTACACTCTGAGCTGAAGTTACGTAATATGATCGTCGATTATATCAGCTGACTCCACAAGTACGTGCCAGGCCCTGGAGTGAGCATTGTTTATGACTCGAGTAGTTGATGGTTGTTGACAGATCTATTTCGTCCCGATAATGTTTTATGGTATTTTACAACCCGGGGGCACGGAAGCCGCCAGGGGGGTGGGCGGCTTTATCTGCAGGGGGACGTGGGGACAGTGTACTGAGACTCGTGTGTAAATGTGTCACCGTATTGAGAGTATTATGTTCGATGTCTTTTGTCTTTCTCACAACTGGATTACGTCAAGGTTGTACTCACCGTGCCCCTTATTTTTATCAGATTCACAAAAAACCCAACTTCGGTGATAAGAATCACTGAATACTAGAATGAAATTTAGAATTGTTTGTTTAAGCCTCGCTTCTTCTTCTTTAACACACCCCGTCCCGCGATATGTTACGATAAAAACATCCATATTTATCACCATTTCAATAATAAACTGAGATGTTGAGGTATGATCTATACAGGTAATCGTCTGTTACAAAATTAGAAGATCCACAAGGGTCCAACACAGGTGTCTACATGTTCTGCCCCTATATGAGGAAGAGGAACCGATTACACGGCTCGTGTTCCTGGTTAAAGTCATCGCAGCAGTGGGAGGCGAGGTGGTGCACTGCCTTCCTCCAGGTGGGAGACGAGGTGGTGGTGCACTGCCTTCCTCCAGGTGGGAGACGAGGTGGTGCACTGCCTTCCTCCAGGTGGGAGACGAGGTGGTGGTGCACTGCCTTCCTCTAGGTGGGAGACGAGGTGGTGGTGCACTGCCTTCCTCCAGGTGGGAGACGAGGTGGTGCACTGCCTTCCTCCAGGTGGGGGACGAGGTGGTGGTGCACTGCCTTCCTCTAGGTGGGAGACGAGGTGGTGGTGCACTGCCTTCCTCCAGGTGGGAGACGAGGTGGTGCACTGCCTTCCTCCAGGTGGGAGACGAGGTGGTGGTGCACTGCCTTCCTCTAGGTGGGAGACGAGGTGGTGGTGCACTGCCTTCCTCCAGGTGGGAGACGAGGTGGTGCACTGCCTTCCTCCAGGTGGGGGACGAGGTGGTGGTGCACTGCCTTCCTCTAGGTGGGAGACGAGGTGGTGGTGCACTGCCTTCCTCCAGGTGGGAGACGAGGTGGTGCACTGCCTTCCTCCAGGTGGGGGACGAGGTGGTGGTGCACTGCCTTCCTCTAGGTGGAAGACGAGGTGGTGCACTGCCTTCCTCCAGGTGGGGGACGAGGTGGTGGTGCACTGCCTTCCTCCAGGTGGGAGACGAGGTGGTGCACTGCCTTCCTCCAGGTGGGAGACGAGGTGGTGGTGCACTGCCTTCCTCTAGGTGGGAGACGAGTTGGTGGTGCACTGCCTTCCTCCAGGTGGGGGACGAGGTGGTGGTGCACTGCCTTCCTCTAGGTGGAAGACGAGGTGGTGGTGCACTGCCTTCCTCCAGGTGGGGGACGAGGTGGTGGTGCACTGCCTTCCTCTAGGTGGGAGACGAGGTGGTGGTGCACTGCCTTCCTCCAGGTGGGAGACGAGGTGGTGGTGCACTGCCTTCCTCTAGGTGGGAGACGAGTTGGTGGTGCACTGCCTTCCTCCAGGTGGGAGACGAGGTGGTGGTGCACTGCCTTCCTCTAGGTGGGAGACGAGTTGGTGGTGCACTGCCTTCCTCCAGGTGGGAGATGAGGTGGTGGTGCACTGCCTTCCTCCAGGTGGGAGACGAGGTGGTGGTGCACTGCCTTCCTCCAGGTGGGAGATGAGGTGGTGGTGCACTGCCTTCCTCCAGGTGGGAGACGAGGTGGTGGTGCACTGCCTTCCTCCAGGTGGGAGATGAGGTGGTGGTGCACTGCCTTCCTCCAGGTGGGAGACGAGGTGGTGCACTGCCTTCCTCCAGGTGGAAGACGAGGTGGTGGTGCACTGCCTTCCTCCAGGTGGGAGACGAGGTGGTGGTGCACTGCCTTCCTCCAGGTGGGGGACGAGGTGGTGGTGCACTGCCTTCCTCCAGGTGGAAGACGAGGTGGTGGTGCACTGCCTTCCTCCAGGTGGGAGATGAGGTGGTGGTGCACTGCCTTCCTCTAGGTGGGAGACGAGTTGGTGGTGCACTGCCTTCCTCCAGGTGGGAGACGAGGTGGTGGTGCACTGCCTTCCTCTAGGTGGGAGACGAGGTGGTGGTGCACTGCCTTCCTCTAGGTGGGAGACGAGGTGGTGGTGCACTGCCTTCCTCTAGGTGGGAGACGAGGTGGTGGTGCACTGCCTTCCTCCAGGTGGGAGACGAGGTGGTGGTGCACTGCCTTCCTCTAGGTGGGAGACGAGTTGGTGGTGCACTGCCTTCCTCTAGGTGGGAGACGAGGTGGTGGTGCACTGCCTTCCTCCAGGTGGGAGACGAGGTGGTGGTGCACTGCCTTCCTCTAGGTGGGAGACGAGTTGGTGGTGCACTGCCTTCCTCCAGGTGGGAGACGAGGTGCTGCACTGCCTTCCTCTAGGTGGGAGACGAGGTGCTGCACTGCCTTCCTCCAGGTGGGAGACGAGGTGGTGGTGCACTGCCTTCCTCTAGGTGGGAGACGAGGTGCTGCACTGCCTTCCTCTAGGTGGGAGACGAGGTGGTGCACTGCCTTCCTCCAGGTGGGAGACGAGGTGGTGGTGCACTGCCTTCCTCCAGGTGGGAGATGAGGTGGTGGTGCACTGCCTTCCTCCAGGTGGGAGACGAGGTGGTGCACTGCCTTCCTCCAGGTGGGAGATGAGGTGGTGGTGCACTGCCTTCCTCCAGGTGGGAGACGAGGTGGTGCACTGCCTTCCTCCAGGTGGGAGATGAGGTGGTGGTGCACTGCCTTCCTCCAGGTGGGAGACGAGGTGGTGCACTGCCTTCCTCCAGGTGGGAGATGAGGTGGTGGTGCACTGCCTTCCTCCAGGTGGGAGACGAGGTGGTGCACTGCCTTCCTCCAGGTGGGAGATGAGGTGGTGGTGCACTGCCTTCCTCCAGGTGGGAGACGAGGTGGTTGTGCACTGCCTTCCTCCAGGTGGGAGACGAGGTGCTGCACTGCCTTCCTCCAGGTGGGAGACGAGTTGGTGGTGCACTGCCTTCCTCCAGGTGGGAGATGAGGTGGTGGTGCACTGCCTTCCTCCAGGTGGGAGACGAGGTGGTGCACTGCCTTCCTCCAGGTGGGAGACGAGGTGGTGGTGCACTGCCTTCCTCCAGGTGGGAGACGAGGTGCTGCACTGCCTTCCTCCAGGTGGGAGACGAGTTGGTGGTGCACTGCCTTCCTCCAGGTGGGAGATGAGGTGGTGGTGCACTGCCTTCCTCCAGGTGGGAGACGAGTTGGTGGTGCACTGCCTTCCTCCAGGTGGGAGACGAGGTGCTGCACTGCCTTCCTCTAGGTGGGAGACGAGGTGCTGCACTGCCTTCCTCCAGGTGGGAGATGAGGTGGTGGTGCACTGCCTTCCTCCAGGTGGGAGACGAGGTGCTGCACTGCCTTCCTCCAGGTGGGAGACGAGGTGCTGCACTGCCTTCCTCCAGGTGGGAGACGAGGTGCTGCACTGCCTTCCTCCAGGTGGGAGACGAGGTGGTGCTGCACTGCCTTCCTCCAGGTGGGAGACGAGGTGGTGCTGCACTGCCTTCCTCCAGGTGGGAGACGAGGTGCTGCACTGCCTTCCTCCAGGTGGGAGACGAGGTGGTGGTGCACTGCCTTCCTCCAGGTGGGAGACGAGTTGGTGGTGCACTGCCTTCCTCCAGGTGGGAGACGAGGTGGTGGTGCACTGCCTTCCCCCAGGTGGGAGACGAGTTGGTGGTGCACTGCCTTCCTCCAGGTGGGAGACGAGGTGCTGCACTGCCTTCCTCCAGGTGGGAGACGAGGTGCTGCACTGCCTTCCTCCAGGTGGGAGACGAGGTGGTGCACTGCCTTCCTCCAGGTGGGAGATGAGGTGGTGGTGCACTGCCTTCCTCCAGGTGGGAGACGAGGTGGTGCACTGCCTTCCTCCAGGTGGGAGACGAGGTGCTGCACTGCCTTCCTCCAGGTGGGAGACGAGGTGGTGCACTGCCTTCCTCCAGGTGGGAGACGAGGTGCTGCACTGCCTTCCTCCAGGTGGGAGACGAGGTGGTGCACTGCCTTCCTCCAGGTGGGAGACGAGGTGCTGCACTGCCTTCCTCCAGGTGGGAGACGAGGTGCTGCACTGCCTTCCTCCAGGTGGGAGACGAGGTGCTGCACTGCCTTCCTCCAGGTGGGAGACGAGGTGGTGGTGCACTGCCTTCCTCCAGGTGGGAGATGAGGTGGTGGTGCACTGCCTTCCTCCAGGTGGGAGATGAGGTGGTGCACTGCCTTCCTCCAGGTGGGAGATGAGGTGGTGCACTGCCTTCCTCCAGGTGGGAGATGAGGTGGTGCACTGCCTTCCTCCAGGTGGGAGACGAGGTGGTGCACTGCCTTCCTCCAGGTGGGAGATGAGGTGGTGCACTGCCTTCCTCCAGGTGGGAGACGAGGTGGTGCACTGCCTTCCTCCAGGTGGGAGACGAGGTGCTGCACTGCCTTCCTCCAGGTGGGAGATGAGGTGGTGGTGCACTGCCTTCCTCCAGGTGGGAGATGAGGTGGTGGTGCACTGCCTTCCTCCAGGTGGGAGACGAGGTGGTGCTGCACTGCCTTCCTCTAGGTGGGAGACGAGGTGCTGCACTGCCTTCCTCCAGGTGGGAGATGAGGTGGTGCACTGCCTTCCTCCAGGTGGGAGACGAGGTGGTGCACTGCCTTCCTCCAGGTGGGAGATGAGGTGGTGGTGCACTGCCTTCCTCCAGGTGGGAGACGAGGTGGTGCACTGCCTTCCTCTAGGTGGGAGACGAGGTGGTGCACTGCCTTCCTCCAGGTGGGAGACGAGGTGGTGCACTGCCTTCCTCCAGGTGGGAGACGAGGTGCTGCACTGCCTTCATCTGAATTAAAATAGATGCTTGGGTCGCTGTATTCGAAAATACTGATTTTTTTACTAAACATGAAATGTTACCTTTCATCCTGGGTCCCGTATATATTTTATGACACTTCTATCATTCGCGGACAGTGTGAAAATGTTTTGTGGCCGAAGCGCTCGTAAATGGATATTCTCACAGTACAAACGAATACTTTCTGTGGCTTTGTGCTTGTACATGGTGTTGTCCAGAAACAAAATAGTGACTTTTAGCAAGTGTGGTCTGTTGGTGTTCATGAAATAGTTTAGTTTCAACTATAGTGGTTTTACTTTTAAATCTGCCCAGGCACACTTTCACAAAACGATCAAAGCGATCAACAATTCTCCAGCAATTTCACGGCGGTGGACACCAGACTTGGGCTTCACACATTGTACTCATGTTGGAAATCGAACCCGGATCTTCGGCGTGTCGGGCGAACGCTTTAACCACAAGGCTACCCCACCGTTCTTGAACTGCCCAAATTGAAGATATGCCAATTTACCATAAACCTGTATATAGTGTCAGTCCTTTACTCAAGAACAGATTTTGAGTTGCCTAGTTAAGGTAAGGATGGCGTCTGATGACGTCTTGTGTATTGCATGGATGCCATACTTGCACACACATCGAACAAAGGAGTTTGCAGGCCATGTAATGGATGTTATGTGTAGAACCGTCTCCTTGAACAAAGTATGGCTGTGTTGAGGGCGGGGCATGTGGTAATATGTGAGCGAGATTGTATTGATGCTGCTTTGAACAGTGTTTCAGCTTTTGTCGCAGCCGTACTCAGTGCTCTGCTACAATAAGTTCTCCCTGACCAACTTCTGCGTTGTAAGTAAGTTTTATAAGCGTCCACTACAAAGACCGAATATTTGCATGCAAGTTCTTGTGTATAGATCATTTTTTACAGAAAATAGCAGCACAGAAGGGGTATATAATTGTCTTGTAACTATTATGAAAAATGGTTTAGTTTCATCAAATAATGAATAAGGTTTGTTCCCCACCGTCTGATCTCTGAAGTGTCCCCCGTTGTCAAGTTTGTAAGCGATTATTAATGCAAATACAGTATCCCCGTGTTATGGGTTTTCGGGGAACGTTAAGAATCATTCCTAATGTCTCGTTAATCACCAAAAAATGTGATCTCACTCGCTCATAAAAGACGACTTTATCTTAAAAACAGGCCATCATCTGAGTATTTACAATGTCTGTACAACGCCACACACCTTGTTATTGCGCGAATAATCGCCCTAAACATGGCCAACCGAAAACGTATCATGACCAAGAACCTGATCCGACTTCTTATCACTGAGAGACAGCTTAGGTGAGCTCGTCTCCGATGTTGACCAGCTTGGTGAAACCCTTGAGCACTGCCTTCCTCTAGGTGGGAGACGAGGTGGTGGTGCACTGCCTTCCTCCCACTCACTCACTCACTGCAACCCCATGATGTGGTTCGGAGCTCACACTGTCTACTCACTCACTGCAACCCCAAGATGTGGTTGAGTGCTCATACTCTCCACTCACTGCAACCCCAAGATGTGGTTCAGTGCCCACACTGTAGCCCATTGGTGTACCTGTTCCAGTTCTCAGTGTGCAGGCAGCTCTGTATGTCAACCCTGTTCTGTATGTCACCCCTGTTCTGTATGTCACCCCTGTTCTGTATGTCACCCCTGTTCTGTATGTCACCCCTGTTCTATATGTCACCCTGTTCTGTATGTCACCCCTGTTCTGTATGTCACCCCTGTTCTGTATGTCAACCCTGTTCTGTATGTCAACCTTCTTCTGTATGCACCCCTGTTCTGTATGTCACCCCTGTTCTATATGTCACCCTGTTCTGTATGTCACCCCTGTTCTGTATGTCAACCTTGTTCTGTATGTCAACCCTGTTCTGTATGTCACCCCTGTTCTGTATGTCACCCTGTTCTGTATGCACCCCTGTTCTGTATGTCACCCCTGTTCTATATGTCACCCTGTTCTGTATGTCACCCCTGTTCTGTATGTCAACCTTGTTCTGTATGTCAACCCTGTTCTGTATGTCAACCCTGTTCTGTATGTCAACCTTCTTCTGTATGTCACCCCTGTTCTGTACACTGCAGCGGAGGACATGAGCACCCCCAGTGCCAAGTAAGGCTCCCAAGCTGCTGGTATCAACTCCATCCTCCCCAGGAACATGGAGCCCAGTTTGTCTCATTGCCGATCATCAAGAGCTTCACTGAAAAGGAAAATGTGAGTTGGATTGATGTCTTATTGTCACCAAATATTATTGAATAATCTTCAGAAAAAAGCCTAAAAGCCATTTTATTTGGTTTCCTTCCTATGTGAAAATTAGGCATTGAACTTTGATGCTATGCATCTTTAGGTATGTGCACTGGTATCCTGGGATTCCTCCATCCACGACTCTCCCCACCTGAACCGATTAACGCCCGCCAACGAGAGGATATATGTCATCCTAAAGGCAGTTGTCCGCCTGAGTCACCCCGCATCCATGGAGCTGGTCCTCCGCAAGCGAGTCTGCATCAACATCTACAAGAAGCAAAGCCTGTCCTCCTTCACCAACATCCTCAAGAACAGGTTCATCGGAGGGGTAGGTGTAGACTGAACTGTGTCATCAGAGTGATAGGTACATGGGTTCATCGGAGGGGTAGGTGTAGACTGAACTGTGTCATCAGGGGGATAGGTACATGGGTTCATCGGAGGGGTAGGTGTAGGCTGAACTGTGTCATCAGAGGGACAGGTACATGGGTTCATCGGAGGGGTAGGTGTAGACTGAAATGTGTCATCAGAGGGATAGGTACATGGGTTCATCGGAGGGGTAGGTGTAGACTGAAGTGTGTCATCAGAGGGATAGATACATGGGTTCATCGGAGGGGTAGGTACATGGGTTCATCTGAGGGGTAGGTGTAGACTGAACTGTGTTATCAGGGGGATAGGTACATGTTACTACCATGTTCTTCACGGAAGAAACGAGACAATAGTTTAAACGTACGCTTAGCCGAGTTACCATTGGTACTAGAACGGAGGTTAAGGAAGCTCGGGCGGGCTCCAAGGGGAATAACTCTTCATCAGAGGATGACATTCAATCGTCATGGTAACAAAATATGAAAGCATGATATGGTTATCTATGTTGTCAAGGAAACTTAAATCGGAAGAAGCACAGACAAGGCAGATCTGCCAAGTTAACAGTGAAAACAAATGTATGACAAAGCATGAAATAAATGACATGTTGTCATGGGAACAGTTGGAAGAAACAAAATGAACGTGTATATATAGTTGGTGACAACAGCAATATGAAGCATCTAATTGAGGTGGCAATCCTAGACTTAGTATCAAGCTTGCACAAGGCGGTGGGAAGACACAGTAACAAGCAGTTCCTTGGCAAAACAAAACAAAGAAGCATCAAACATGATAAAAGTCTGCAGGAAAACCCTACACTGTATTAGTATCTGGTAAATGTGAGTAATATGTCGACTTGTGCATGAAGGAAGTCTCCTGGCATGCACCAGTTGGTTGTAGGAACGCACCAGGAACGCACCAGGAACGCACCAGGAACGAACTGTTTAGGCTGGAGGGTCCAGCAGGGAATATGGACACATGACACTATGTACAGACTGTATGTAAGTCAAGGGAGAATCTCTGTCAGACAATATTGCGGTTTGTTATGACCGAGTGTCAATATGGCCACATCAGTCTATCGGCTGCATGTAATCTAATTAAGTCATTGCATAATCTCTGTCAGGCAATATTGCTAATAAGAATTGATTTTAATATCTTTAGCATTTATGGAGGAATAAATGTAAAAATCAGGGTGCAGAATGCGTAAAGATGCTCTGTCAGGGCAATGTTGCAGTATCTTGTAACAGTGTCTGAGAGGAAATATGGACACATGGTCAACTGAATGTATGTAACTAAAATCATGGTAATATTTCTGTCAGGATAATAGTGCACTTTGTTTTGACTGTGGGTCAATATGGACACATCAGACTACAATGATATGTAACCGAGGTCATGGAATATCTCTGTCAGGGTAACATTGCAGTATGTCATAGCTGCATGTATTTTAAAATGTGACTAATCTCAAGTCATCCTCACTTATCAGGGACTTGACCAGCAAGAAAATGCAGAGACAAGTTTTACATTTTCTGACCAGCTGGTACAGGAATTTACCTGGGCATTATCAAAAGCCGATATTCAATCCAAAGTCAATGGAATGCAACGGAAATGGACAAATAAAATCCTAAATTGGAATTAAAGATATCCCAATTCAATTACCATAAATGTTAACTTTATATGTTATACATAGCTTTGCATATTTGACATACTTGAAATGTTTGCACTGAATTCAACGTTAGAATCCTGATGAATAAAATATAAGAACCATACAAACATTTCCAATGTAGGAAATAAATAAATGTTTCTTTTCTCCAAATTTGCCTTTCCCCATCAAAGCCAAGATTATTCCTATACTTGTTTCCTGCTTCCATAGTTCAATTTCAAAGCAAAGGGTATATAATACATAACACCAAGGTGCAAGTTTATGTGGTGCCAAGCTCCATGTATAGGCACTGGGTGACTGGTCACCGGTCACATTGGTCAGATGATATCACATGACACACTGGACAAGAAATTTCTTCCCATCCAATCACAGAGCTTTCGCCCATCACATAAAAATCAGATCTTAGTGCTCACTACCGCTAAACAGGTCTGAGGACATCCCATTACAAGTCACGTCAGAACGACATTTCGCGAACTTTGACCTACAAATGAAATGACAAACAAGAAGTCAACATTAGCCAATCAGAAAGCCTCTTTTTTGAGCTACATGGCACTAGTTTCAAACTACGCTTTGAAATATATTTTGACACAGTGTTGGATTCAAATTTTGAAAACTGAAGAAAAGATCATTCTGGAATGTCTAATAGATGGCCTAGATTGTATGGCTGTACTTCCAACAGACTATGCATTGTCTCTTCTGTTTCAAATGCTTATCCCATTGAAGCGAGAGATAGACAATGATTTTGACGAAATCAGTCATACAGCCCACAACTTTTGTTCTGAATACGTGTTTTAGAGGCTGTGCATGATTAGAAAACACATTCTGACTGTCCCTTTCCTGATCTGGTAAGTAATCTTCTGATTGCTCGGATGAAAGATCGTTTTGATGTGACCCGTAATGGGATGTCCTCAGATCTTTGTTTTGCGGTAGCGAGAACTAAGATCTGACTTTAAATGAGTTTGGAACATTCCCAGTAATACCCACTCATATTCAGAGAACAATCCAACTACCCCAAAAAACAACAACCCCGAAATGTTTTAAATATGTTCCAGAAGTTAAGATGTTAGAGAGAGAGGTGGGGATTATTTCTGACAGAGACTGTTAATCTCATGCAGAAACTACATGCATGAAAACCTTGCGTGGAAAACAACTTACGAAAACAGAACCTTGCAAATGTAAACAGCTCTGTAAAGATGATACATGCTGCCATGAACATCGAGACATGAGGCAATGAAGTGGGTCTCTCACCAGACTCGGAACTTACACCACTGTGGGGACTATTGCTAAATGTGACAAGGTTTTGCCACTCACGTCTTTGTATTCAACTACAGTGACAATGGTCCTTAATTTCATAAATAAGGATAGTCATGATTTAAGTTTAAAAAGTAATTTTAACTTTTTCTTAGTAATTGTTGTTCTTAGTGTGAAGATTGTTTTTTATTAATAGTGATAATCATGAACATTTATTAAAAGTTTGGTTCAAAAGAGTGAACATTATTTAAAAAAAGTGTCTGAGTTCAAATTTTCTTTGAAATAGTCCGTGAAATGAAGTTTGGGTTACATGATGTTGGATGTGCTTGTGTTGTGTAGGAGTGTAGTTAGCAATGAGAGTGCAGAGACACGTTCCACCAAGCAACCTCAGCACCAGGAGTTCTAAGTTTACCTGGTGGAAGGGAACCAGGGAGTATCAATACCTCATGGGTTTGTATACACTATGTTCCCCCATCATTATGATAACATACTGGTGTGATGTACTGTAGTCATGTGGAGCCTTGTGGCTGCCTGCTCTACATGGCCTTGAGGCTGCCTGCTCTACATGGCCTTGTGGCTGCCTGCTCTACATGGCCTTGTGGCTGCCTGCTCTACATGGCCTTGAGGCTGCCTGATCTACATGGCCCTGTGGCTGCCTGCTCTACATGGCCTTGTGGCTGCCTGCTCTACATGGCCTTGAGGCTGCCTGATCTACATGGCCTTGTGGCTGCCTGCTCTACATGGCCTTGTGGCTGCCTGCTCTACATGGCCTTGAGGCTGCCTGATCTACATGGCCCTGTGGCTGCCTGCTCTACATGGCCTTGTGGCTGCCTGCTCTACATGGCCTTGAGGCTGCCTGATCTACATGGCCCTGTGGCTGCCTTTTCTACATGGCCTTGAGGCTGCCTGCTCTACATGGCCTTGAGGCTGCCTGATCTACATGGCCTTGTGGCTGCCTGATCTACATGGCCTTGAGGATGAGTGCTCTGCATGACCTTGAGACTGCCTGCGCTACATGGCCTTGTGGATGCCTGATCTACATGGCCTTGTGGCTGCCTGCTCTACATGGCCTTATGGATGCCTGCTCTACATGGCCTTGTGGATGCCTGCTCTACATGGCCTTGTGGCTGCCTGCTCTACATGGCCTTGTGGCTGCCTGATCTACCTTGCCTTGTAGCTGCCTGATCTACATGGCCTTGAGGATGAGTGCTCTGCATGACCTTGTGGATGCCTGCTCTACATGGCCTTGTGGCTGCCTGATCTACATGGCCTTGAGGCTGCCTGCTCTACACGGCCTTGTGGATGCCTGCTCGACATGGCCTTGTGGATGCCTGCTCGACATGGCCTTCAGGCTGCCTGATCTACATGGCCTTGTTGCTGCATGTTCACATGGCCTCGTGGATACCTGCTCTACACGGCCTTGTGGATGCCTGCTCTACATGGCCTTGTGACTGCCTGATCTACATGGCCTTGTGGCTGCCTGATCTACATGGCCTTGTGGCTGCCTGCTCTACACGGCCTTGTGGATACCTGCTCTACACAGCCTTGTGGATGCCTGCTCTACATGGCCTTGTGGCTGCCTGATTTACATGGCCTTGTGGCTGCATGATCATCATGGCATTGAGGCTGCCTGATCTACATAGCCTTGAGGCTGCCTGCTCTACATGGCCTTTTGGCTATCTGATCTACACAGCCTTGTGGCTATCTGATCTACACAGCCTTGTTGCTATCTGATCTACACAGCCTTGTGGCTATCTGATCTACACAGCCTTGTGGCTATCTGATCTACAGCCTTGTGGCTATCTGATCTACACAGCCTTTTGGCAATCTGATCTACACAGCCTTTTGGCTATCTGATCTACACAGCCTTGTGGCTATCTGATCTACACATCCTTTTGGCTATCTGATCTACACAGCCTTGTGGCTATCTGATCTACACAGCCTTGTGGCTATCTGATCAACACAGCCTTGTGGCTATCTGATCTACACAGCCTTTTGGCTATCTGATCTACACAGCCTTGTGGCTATCTGATCTACACAGCCTTTTGGCTATCTGATCTACATGGCCTTTTGGCTATCTGATCTACACAGCCTTGTGGCTATCTGATCTACACAGCCTTTTGGCTATCTGATCTACACAGCCTTGTGGCTATCTGATCTACACAGCCTTTTGGCTATCTGATCTACACAGCCTTGTGGCTATCTGATCAACACAGTCTGCGGCTATCTGATCTACACAGCCTTGTGGCTATCTGATCTACACAGTCTGCAGCTATCTGATCTACACAGCCTTGTGGCTATCTGATCTACACAGCCTTTTGGCTATCTGATCTACACAGCCTTGTGGCTATCTGATCTACACAGCCTTGTGGCTATCTGATCTACACAGTCTGCGGCTATCTGATCTACACAGCCTTGTGGCTATCTGATCTACATGGCCTTTTGGCTATCTGATCTACACAGCCTTGTGGCTATCTGATCTACATGGCCTTTTGGCTATCTGATCTACACAGCCTTGTAGCTATCTGATCTACACAGCCTTGTGGCTATCTGATCTACACAGTCTGCGGCTATCTGATCTACACAGCCTTGTGGCTATCTGATCTACATGGCCTTTTGGCTATCTGATCTACACAGCCTTGTGGCTATCTGATCTACATGGCATTTTGGCTATCTGATCTACACAGCCTTGTGGCTATCTGATCTACACAGCCTTGTGGCTATCTGATCTACACAGCCTTTTGGCTATCTGATCTGCACAGCCTTTTGGCTATCTGATCTACACAGCCTTGTGGCTATCTGATCTACACAGCCTTTTGGCTATCTGATCTACACAGCCTTGTGGCTATCTGATCAACACAGTCTGCGGCTATCTGATCTACACAGCCTTGTGGCTATCTGATCTACACAGTCTGCGGCTATCTGATCTACACAGCCTTGTGGCTATCTGATCTACAGCCTTTTGGCTATCTGATCTACACAGCCTTGTGGCTATCTGATCTACACAGCCTTGTGGCTATCTGATCTACACAGTCTGCGGCTATCTGATCTACACAGCCTTGTGGCTATCTGATCTACACAGCCTTTTGGCTATCTGATCTACACAGCCTTGTGGCTATCTGATCTACATGGCCTTTTGGCTATCTGATCTACACAGCCTTGTAGCTATCTGATCTACACAGCCTTGTGGCTATCTGATCTACACAGTCTGTGGCTATCTGATCTACACAGCCTTGTGGCTATCTGATCTACATGGCCTTTTGGCTATCTGATCTACACAGCCTTGTGGCTATCTGATCTACATGGCATTTTGGCTATCTGATCTACACAGCCTTGTGGCTATCTGATCTACACAGCCTTGTGGCTATCTGATCTACACAGCCTTTTGGCTATCTGATCTGCACAGCCTTTTGGCTATCTGATCTACACAGCCTTGTGGCTATCTGATCTACACAGCCTTTTGGCTATCTGATCTACACAGCCTTGTGGCTATCTGATCTACACAGCCTTTTGGCAATCTGATCTACATGGCCTTGTGACTGCATGATCTACACAGCCTTGTGGCTATCTGATCTACATGGCCTTGTGGCTATCTGATCTACATGGCCTTGTGACTGCATGATCTACACAGCCTTGTGGCTGCCTGATCTACACCTTGCTTGCAAGTGAGGCAATGGATGGGTTCCTTACTACACCACAGAGTAGCTGTATGTTTTCACAGGAGATGGAGGAAGGTAGTGTTTACACCCCCCAAGTGTTGATGGGGACCATGACAAGGGGACGTGGATGATCTGTGAGTGTTAACAGCTGATATGAGCAATGTGAGAACCAACTGAAGTCAGCAATGTGAGAACCAACTGAGGTCAGCGATGTGAGAACCAACTGAGGTCAGCGATGTGAGAACCAACTTAAATGTGAGAACCAACTTAAATGTGCCTGATTGAGGAGTTAGACTGTCAGTGCGACATCAGCAAATACAACCACTTCTAATTGGTCAGTAAACTCTACAGATGAATTAAAATAAAATTGCATATACCAAATTTTTTTGAAAAATTGCTTGTTCAAAGTCATGAAAAACATAACCTTAATAATCTATATATGAACTGAAGAATAAGTTAACATTTTGAACTTTATCATCATTGGATTGTCAATATTGAGGACAAAATTAACGTCCTTGAGTATAGAAGCAAGAAAAGTAACTACACTGTTTATTTGCATTAAATTGATAGCTTTACATAATACAACAAAATGTAGGCATAGCCTTAAAACAAGATATGATTCTGTATCAGCCCTAGAAGCATAAACATTTGAGGCAAGCGAGCATATAACCATGGCGACCATACACACAGGAAGTGGGTGAAGAATCATGGGATACATCGTTGACGAAGCAATATCGCATGTTATAAAATTTGATGTAGTGGAGGTACATGAAATAACAAAAAATTCCAGAATAACTACAATTCAGTCATCATCTCCCTAGATATGCGAAATCAATTTACAGACGTCGTCGAAAACAAATGAAAGCAAATGTTCTGATCTACGCTAGGATTTTGAGGGTGATTTTGATGTGACCTGCCTACTTGTGTATTGACTGCGAAACAATGCGGAGACTTGAAGCCGTCTATACACTTGGCGGTGTGCAATAATCAAGCTGAACTTAAAATAGTTGCTGCCAAACAAAAACAGAAATTGGGTGACACTGTCAGTTAACCCACCTAGGCCGACCGAAAGCTTTTTAAGACGACCCACTTCCCTGCGGTAAGACGCGATCATGGACTCGTTCACGTCGGAAAATGCTCGTTGCCGAAACTCACCCGCAAAAGTCGGGGATTTTGACAATGCGGCATCACTGGTGAGATCCTGGATGCTGTCAGCTCGCATCTGCAACAGGAAGGAGAACATGACACAGGCTTGGATATGGTTTAACCCTGGGAAGGAATGGACTTTTGTGCATGGTGTGCATAATTATAGATTATAAATCACTAAGGAAAGCATTTAATTCAACCCCACAAACTCCCTGATAGTTTAGCGAGGCAACAAACAAATGGCGTCGGTAACACTGCATCTCTGACGAAACACGTGGTCAAAGCTCTACACAATTCATAAAATTCATCATGTGACAATATTAACTGTATTGCAGAAAGACATTGTGGTATTTCGAGTTCCTAAGAAATAATGGTGTACATGCAATTAGCTCCCTACAGCTTCACGTGATCGGTGCATGAACAGTTAACAATTTGATCTCCGTGATATTTTATACACGCACATAATTTGTGAAAAAAATGTAAATTTTAGGCCCAAAAGTGTAATTTTAGATTTAAAAGCGTAATGGTTGGCATCCCTGTCATCCTAATGATTTGAACAAAACATAAGGCCATCATAAGAAGAAACATACACGACAAAGTCCAGCTCCCCAGTCTGTCAATTTCAGAGAAGATGATTCCAGTGCAAAAAATGTATTTTGAGGGAACTTTAACATGCAGGAATAGCTGAGTGGCTATATATAGCTGCCAATGGTGGCCATATTGAAAATCAGAATAAAAACTTCTTCAAATTCAGATGTGATCATTGGTAGAAAAAAGCATGGGAAGAGCAGTGGTCTCTGGGGAGATGATGTTTACAGAGAGAGGGTGCATTTTTGGAGAGAATTGTAAAGCACGGTTCAAAGTGCAAACGTCCAACAAAGTTAAAATTTTAAAAATCGCAAAAGCGAAATATGTGTGTTAAGACGCAGTACTAACTACAAACTTGAACCCCTTTACAAATCTACACAAAATTCTCCTGAATTCATAAAAATATTTTGGAGATGAAGTCAAAAATGTTAAAAGTTTATGGCCGACATCAGACATTAGACGACTTGCTATGTCATAAGCTCTCATGGCCTTTCAGGCTGGGTGAGCTATTTATCTATTTAAAACAGAGAGGGCCTAGAGAGTGTTACCTGATCTTCAAGCTTGGTGGGTGAGGTTAGCATCTGTGGAAGCAAGAAGATTTGTTTGAGAAGACCCTATTCCAGCAATATCACAGCGGGGGACACCAGAAATTGGCTTCACACATTTTACCCATGTCGGGAATCGAACCCGAGTCTTCGGCGTGACGAGCGAACGCTTTAACCACTAGGCTACCCGACCGCCCCTAACTACATGAGAGAGCACTTCCTTGAATAAACACAAAGTTTTGGATTGGTTTTGACCGACTTCAAAGACTAACCAGTCATTTTTAATTGTAAACACACCAATGTTCAATAAGTGCCGTGTTTCAAGAAGTACAGACATCAAACACAACTGTCGGAACTGTCTGCAGGAAGGTAAACATACATTCCATCTTGTAACCAATCTAATGTGTTGAATCAATTAGTTAATCAAAATGTCTGGTTCATGTTTCGATTATCTTATCCAGCTGTTGATCTGGTGCCAATATTAGAAACTTCAGATAAGCTGCACAGCAGAAAATGATTCAGGAATTACCAAGATACTTGAGAAGTTACCATGACAGAAACTGAGGCAGTCATAGCTGTCTGCAGTATGATTACCAGATGTTACGGTACACTGGAAAACACACTGTGTTATTAATAGATTCCGAAAAAGTTGTTTGAGAACTGTTTGATATTATTTCATCACTGGATTTACCAACCGATTGCAGATCTTTGACATACCAAATACAAACTATATAAAGATGTGGCATTTATTCCAAGATGTTATAAAGCAGAGTCTCAGATGGCAAACATTGGAAAGTTATTTTTAAGTCTATTGCAAACTACAAGATGAGAGATGAGTTCATAAAGCACACCAGTGAATATATTCAATAAACTGTCACACTAGAACATTAAAAATATGGAAATGTCTGTCCACAGTGGGATGTTCATGAAGATAGCAAACCTGATTGATGTTAGGGACACTGGTGGTCTTCCGTAAAGATCTCCCACTGACGGCGAGGTGTTCCTTAACAGCGACCTCCTGTTGGACACACAAGAGAATATGAGTGAGTATTGTTTTATGCCGCTTTTAGCAAATTAAAAAAAATCATCTCCTGTCACGTTAACAAGCTTCTCCCCTCTACTGTGTTAGGAAGTGCCCCACCCCCACTGAGTTAGGAAGTGCCCCATCCCCAGTGAGCCAGGAAGTGCCCTGCCACCACTGAGCCAGGAAGTGCCCTGCCACCACTGAGACAGGAAGTGCCCTGCCACCACTGAGACAGGAAGTGCCCCACCCCCACTGAGACAGGAAGTGCCCTGCCACCACTGAGCCAGGAAGTGCCCTGCCACCACTGAGCCAGGAAGTGCCCTGCCACCACTGAGACAGGGAGTGCCCCACCCCCACTGAACCAGGAAGTGCCCCACCCCCACTGAGCCAGGAAGTGCCCTGTCACCTGCTGAGCCAGGAGTCCCCCGCCTACACTGAACCAGGAAGTGCCTCACCCACACTGATCCAGGAAGTGCCCCACCCTCAATGAGCCAGGAAGTGCCATGCCACCTACTGAGTCAGGATGGCTCTGCCACCTGCAAAGCTAGGCGTCCCCTGCCCACACTGAACCAGGAAGTGCCCCTGCCCTCAATGAGCCAGGAAGTGCCATACCACCTACTGAGTCAGGATGGCTCTGCCACCTGCAAAGCTAGGCGTCCCCTGCCCACACTGAACCAGGAAGTGCCCCTGCCCTCAATGAGCCAGGAAGTGCCATGCCACCTACTGAGTCAGGATGGCTCTGCCACCTGCAAAGCTAGGCGTCCCCTGCCCACACTGAACCAGGAAGTGCCCCTGCCCTCACAATGAGCTAGGAAGGGCCCTGCCCTCCACTGAGTCAGGAAGTGCCCCATCCCCACTTCGCCTTACACTGACCTGACGTAGTCTATCAATGGTAAGGATGCTCTCCACGACCGAGATGCCCTTGATGTACTTCTCGATGTAGGTCTCCCCATCCACAGCCTTGGTCTCGTTCTGACTAGCGGCCATCTGGGCCAGGGTCTCCATACCCTCCAGGTCCTCTGACCCCTTTGGAATGTTGGACATGACCTTATAGGTGATACCACTGGCATACAGGTAGTCCTGGAAAGAAGCGGGCATTGACATTGAGGACGAGGTCTTGCAACTTTCCATCTAGACACTAAGTAATGGAGTTTCTATGCATATCTATCACAGCTGAGATTTGGTCCTGTACTTATACATCCAATTATCCCACCCCTTCCAAACTAAAAATATGACACACAAACTACCCCTTCAATGAACCTGTTCTTTAGGATTGTAGGTATGATCTCGCCAATGAACAAAGTGCAATGTGCCCCTACCCTCTGATGAACCCAGCACAATGTGCCCCTACCCTCTGATGAACCCAGCACAATGTGCCCTTACCCTCTGATGAACCAAGCACAATGTGCCCTTACCCTCTGATGAACCAAGCACAATGTGCCCCTACCCTCTGATGAATCCAGCACAATGTGCCCTTACCCTCTGATGAACCAAGCACAATGTGCCTCTACCCTCTGATGAACCCAGTACACATACCTACCCCTCCGATGAACCTCGTACAACGTGCCCCTACCCTCTGATGAACCCAGCACAATGTGCCCCTACCCCCTGATGAAACCCAGTACAATGTGCCCCTACACTCTGATGAACCCAGCACAATGTGCCTCTACCCTCTGATGAACCCAGCACAATGTGCCTCTACCCTCCGATGAACCCATGTACCTTCCCCTCCAATGAACCCATGTACCTTCCCCTCCAATGAACCCATGTACCTATCCCTCTGATGACACAGTTCAGTCTACACCTACCCCTCCAATGAACCCATGTACCTATCCCTCTGATGACACAGTTCAGTCTACACCTTCCCCTCCGAAGAACCCATGTACCTATCCCTCTGATGACACAGTTCAGTCTACACCTACCCCTCCAATGAACCCATGTACCTATCCCCCTGATGACACAGTTCAGTCTACACCTACCCCTCCAATGAACCCATGTACCATGTACCTACCGGGTATACTCACCCACGCACGCACGCACGAAAGCACGCCCGCCCGCACGCCCACCCACCCACTCACTCACTCACTCACTCACTCATATTGAATGGTATTCTGCTCTCAGGTCAGCCTAAATTAAAGAATGCCCCCGACTGTAATCAGAGCCTGTTACTGCAGACCGAAGACCAGAACTTTGACTCACCGTTCGTCCACCTGGAACCCCCTCTCGACGTGGACGACTACATGTTTGGTCTGACGGACTGCGAGGGCATCTCCGATCTTTTCGATGCCTATGATATCACGCTAGCAGTATAGTTGTCTGTTTAGGAATGCTGTACAGGAGAGACACACTGTCATTCTGCAATCTTTTTGTGTTTTCTTTTCTTTTTCAACAAATTCAAGAAATCCTAATATTGAGGTTTAATTGCTTCAACGGTATATGATTTTGTTAAGGATGTTTCCTATGTTTGAGTGGGAACTTTTTGAATTGCTATGATATATAGTCCAACTTTGTTGAAACTTCGTTAACTTAATACATTGTTTTAAGACAATGTAATGTTATTGTCCGGAGAGAAACCTCATCACCAAAATGTTCTAATATAGGTGCTCTTGACCCTTCTGACAGTCTTCATAACCAGAGTGAACAAGGTTTTGCTGAAGATACCTTGTACCAGCTTAACTATAAAGCTCTCATATGCTGTTGATGTACATTACGCAGTTGTGTAGCTTGAAGTATTCCTCCCCCCCCCCCCCCCCCCTCTCCTGCAGAGCATTCTAAACAGAGGCGTGGCTAGTTAGACTTGACCATGCTAGTAATGTGTTGTGTAGATGTGTGGCTTTTTCTGTGTGAATGGCAGGCCAGGTTTGTGGAGAAGAGATACTCATTTTGAATTTGTGAACTGCTAGATACTGAGTGAGCATTGAATGTTACTTCATTTAAGCACTGCATGTAATGTTTTGAAAAGCTTCTGTTTCTTTTCGTCAGAAGTATTTACAATATAATGGGTAGTATTGTCGATAAATCATGAATAAGCTTGTATCATGATCTGATTAATATGCAAATAAGGCACCCTAGCCGAAATTGTTTTTGATCTCTGTACATGAATTCAATGTCTTGTTTGCTCAATAAACTATTGAGGGGACAGTCAGGTAGCCTAGTGGTTAAAGTGTTTGCTCGTCACGCCGAAGACCCGGGTTCGATTCCCGACATGGGTACAAGGTGTGAAGCCAATTTCTGTTGTCCCCTGCCGTGATATTGCTGGAATATTGCTAAAAGCGGCGTAAAACCAAACTCACTCAGTAAACTATTGACTTACCAAATTGTAGCGTTTTCCGAGGTTTGAGTGATTATGTAGACAAGTATGGCTGCAAGTTGTTTGTAACTATGTTATGAATGGGACGGTTCACACAGAATTTACCTCTTGTATTTGTGATGAAATACTGGAGACTTTAAAGTCCCAATGAGCAGTTGACAAAACTTTTCCATCTACACATTAGTCACTTACCTTCAATGCTTGAAAACATATGAAGTTAGTGATTACTTATCCACTGCCACAATCTCATGCTTCAAAGGGCTTGTAGTCTGATGTCCTGAGTCGAGCATGGCAAGGTGAGGTGAAATGAGGTTTAAAGTCGTGTTCCAAGCTTACAGTAGTTCCTGCTCGGTGGCCTTATTTGCATATATATCAGAACATGTGTACAAGTGTATTGGATTGGTTTAAAGTGAGGTGAGGTGAAATGGGGTTTAACGTCGCGTCCAAGATTATTGCACTTATATAGCGACGTGCATGTATGTGTGTGTGTTTGTGTGGCTGCTTGTACTAGTCCGGACTGATGCCGATTTATAGTGCTAGCTCACTGAGATACCATGCGGCAGTTTAACATGAATACCCCACTCAGACACAGTATACTGACTCCAAGCCGACCAGTCCTTGCTTTAGCCCCTTAATGCCGAGTGCCAGACAGGGTAACAACAAGTACCATCTTTTAACGTCTTTTGGTATGACGCGGTCGGGGATCGAACCCCGGACCTTCCGCTCTCCGGGCGGACGCTCTACCACTAGACCACGGAGGCGGTCTGGATTGGTTGAACACATCAGTAACACTATCTATTATTTATTATATATATGTATTAAGTATTTATGAAGTAAAAGACGAGGGGGAATTGTTTATCGTACAATAAAACACTGCAGTGAAAATCCATGCTAGGCGCAGGCCCTTGTGATTTATTCTCCTTGCAGTTTTTAATTATACGATAACAACCATGAGTCGTTCATCTCTTATGTGAGATATCAACAATATTTTCAACCTCCCTAGGATGTTAATAAATTTTAAATTTTACAAGCTTTAAAATTCTTTACCCATATTTAAATAATAATTGACTCCCTGTATCTAATCTGATCTTCGCAATGTTGGACAAGTCTGTTTTATGAACAGAGGCCAAAATTGAGTATTTTCTGAATATTCTCATCTTGCATTGATTATCTGTAAAATTTCTCCCAATACAGATTGCCATATCTCTCTCACTGTTTTGATGCGATCGTTTGGCCACACGTTTATCTGTGTTGCCCAGCTGCATCTAGGGGGGATAACTCCATACCCTAACAAAAATAACATCCAATTTATGACGTCGTCAAGTTGCGAGTGCATGTTCGAATCTCCAGAAATAACATCATGATAGAACAATCTTTTATAGTGAAATAAACCATACTTTGTTCTTCATTGTTCACATAGCCATCTTATATTATGTGATCAATACTTTTTAATGATCAGTCAATGCTGTACAAATTAACTCAAAGGAGTCAACTATTTCCATGGATCATTTGGTCAGTTCACTTCAGAAAACGATCTCTTCTCCACAATCTTGCTCTAGAGGTGCTTTATTTATATACCATATTTACATGAAGACAAACTGTACAAACTGTTTCTTATTTTGATTATGCAGATCACTGCCAAGTACATAATGTACTGATATAGGTGTATCCCTTGCTGTGCTGTTTCCGTGGTATTTATTATAGTGAAACAGCCGGCAAAAGTGCTTTTGTTGACATTGTTACGGTATTGCCCTATTAACCAGCCATGTTGTCATCCCCATTGTTTTGAGTGTCTCAGGTATGTGTGGGGTCATCTCAAAAGTTCTTTTTATTGCACATCAGGACTTGATTTCAGATATTGCTGTACTCGATTTCCTCTGAACCCTTTGAGATGGCCCATGACTAATGGCAGGTGTAACTGAGTCTTTTATGTCGTTTGCAGTAGGTGTTTCATTCATTGCACACATGTCAAGATGTTACGTCACAAAATAGAAATTTGTTTTCGAGGTATATTTTTATGTTAAACATTTTGGATAAGCGTTGGGATGGTTTGTGTTGTTTTTGAAAATACCTTCAAGTTTAGTGCAAAAAATGTTAAGGAAATCTTGACGATTTGATAAGTCGTAGATATAGATATGCAGGTGCAGTTATGTACTCGGGTGCATATTTTGCACATATAGTTGACGGTTTGCTTAACTGCATCTCATATAAGTGTTTTCAACTTTTGTGTAAAACACTGATGTACTCGAATACTTTTTTACCACAGCATTTTCAGTGTAAAAATTCTGTTTGCTTTTACCTTTATATCTTGCCCCTTTTAACTTATTATCACTAGATTTATATATTTAATCCCATGAATTGTTGAATGAAGTTAATATGGAAAACAAAACAATAATTTGAATATCTTTTAGTATTTCTAGTCACCATGCCAAATGTTCTAAATAGTATTAGTGAAACCATTTCTAGATTAATTGGACAAGGTTCATTTTACACAGAACATTTTGATAAATACAAACTTTACAATGCTTGGGGTGCAGTGAAAAAGACAGTCAAGAGTTATCTCCCCTTGACCTCCATTTCATTCCATGTGGAAGAGATAAGTTCGAAAAATCTGTGAGAAGGAAAGACTCCTCAAATTTTATGATTGTTCCACATTTACGAGATGTTGGTACAGGCCATGGCCCACTTGCACAAAGCGATCTTAGCACTAAGACTATCGTAAGCCTATGTTAAAGTATGGGAGTTACGATCATCTTAGCGCTAAGATCGCTTTGTCAAGTGGGCCCAGTAAACC